AGAAGAAAAATCCCCACAAAGGGGTTTGCGCTTGCTTTATTTTTATTTTATCTGTCTCCCCCCCCCCCCCCCCCGTGACTTTTAGGCAGAAAGCTTTTCCATGTCGCAGCACAGTTGTTGCTTTTCACAGACCCCACAAAGACAAGGAGGTGGGAATTTATCTGTTCGTATCAGTCTTCTTTCCCACTTTTTCCCCACTTTTCTAAAGTAACGGTGAAGAAGGTAGAAGGTCTTTTACCGTATCATCTACCGGTAATAATCCTCCCACCCCAGTAAGCCTAAACAACTTCAGATTTTGAAGACTGCATTAAACAGCTGCCGGTGACAAGTTTAGAAGTGACGCAGCTGAAGTAAAAATGTACCATTAGGATTAATACATTTATTGCTGGAAAAAAATTAACATTTGTCAAGATTAAAACCCAATATTTAAACAAAATGTAGCAATTTTCCCAAAAATAAAAGCCTCATGCATGGCCCACAGTGCTACTGAGGTGTTCGAAGCATTTGAAAAAAGTAGCGGCTTATAGTCCGGAAATTATGGTATTTGTGGGTAAAGTTAGGTGTAAATGCATTTTGTCAATTATACATCATACTCAACTTTATGAACTCTGATGGAGCAATTTTGTAGACAACAACTGAATTTATCATTTGGAAACATGGGAATAAATATGATGTACTAATAGCGACTGAAAATATTAGTTTATATAGAAAAAGCAAAAACAAACGCCACCGACTCAGTTTTGAGGGCAAACACTGCAAACTCAGTAGTGCCATCCAATAATAGAAACCTGGTCTATGACCAGAATAAAAGTGCTGTGACATCCAAGCCCCCCTGTGGACTTCTAGAGGCGAGTGCACGTGGACTAAATGTCACTCAGCACGGTGCCATCATTTAAGAAAAAAACAACAACTCATTTTGCAACAAAATGCATTAATCTCAGTATGTCTCAGTATTTAAAGCTGATTCCTGAATGTACAAGTCTAACACCAGTCACCTGTTCAGACACCAAAGTAAGTTGTTTTTTTTTGTTACAACCTGAGCAAACAGCATTGTGGCGACAGTTGTGACGAATGGGAGGAGTGGTCGACTATAATGCAAAAGTGACTAGGGGGAGGGGAAATGCAATAATGCACACACTGACAGATGGGATCCTTCCGTGGCCCCAATCTGCAGGAAAATATAACTTGCATTCAGGACGCTGCTGATTTTACATTTGCAGGCCTCGCTTGTCCAATTTTATTTGAGTGGCTGAGAAGCAGAGCTCTGATCTGCAGATAAACCTCATGTACTAAAAGGTCATCAGGAAGTGTCTTCCCTGCTAATCAAATATCCCTGAAGGCAAGGTCTGATCTTTTAGAATCTGGTGAGATGAGAGACCAGCTGGGCAAATCTACATCAGGCCTCCGGGACTTCCACAGGCCAGCTTGCACCTGCCCGTCACTCAGCGTCCACCGTCACATGTAAACAGAGTTTACAGTGAGCAGCAACCTGGATGTAATCGGTCATAATGCAGAGTTTAAGCCCCGTGGTTTTAGCTTGGCTCTTAGGCCTTGTTCACATGGAAACTTTTTATTTTTTCTCCCCAAAACAAATTTTTGTCATTCAATAAATATATCCTCAAACACAAATTCATAGAAATGCCTTCATCCACACGGAAACAACAAAAACGACCCAAAACACTACATTAACTATGCCAAGCCTGTATGTGGCGCTGTAACCCTGCCACACACACACACAAAAAAATAAAAATCACCAAAACAGACGAAACAAGCTTGCACTCTGAATATAAGCTAAACACCAAAAGATTAAGACATTGAAAACAAAGATGGCACTTCAATATTTTTCATACTGGAACAAAAATAATAATGAAATGCATTTGGGGCTCCTTAAATGTTTTGTTTTTTTATTATATAGTTATTGCATATTTAAAAAAATAAAAACATACCCATATGGATAGCCCTTTAAATTCAAAAGCCTATTCAGATTGTTGAGTTTAAAATTACCTACATAGACTAACCCTAAAAATGGAGTCGTGTGATTTAAGTTTTTAAATGTTTGTGCAAAGTTATGAACCATTTAGAAAACCGACTGAACAGAAACATCTGATATTCTCTCAAATTATTGCAATAAACGATATTGTTTGAAATTTGACAATAATTTGTAATTATTGTCAAATTTAATTAGAAATGTTTGTTAATTTGTTTTGCATGTAGTACCTTTTTTTGATCACTGGATGGCAGTATAAGACTGTTTGAAACGAAGGATGGATAGTGAGGGAGCGAACAGTGCAGTGTTTCCCCTACTTTTATACAAGCGGGGTGCCCCGCCCCGTCAACAGAACAGAGTGCCCCGTCTACCGAACAGTATACTGCCTCGTACGTCCGTTCACGCGTACTGTAAGCAGAGGGTTCAGACATGATACTCCAGCGTACACCCCGAGCAGCTGCAGAGCAGCTTCACAGACAAGGGGCGTTTAACTTCGGGACAAATTGAGGTCGCCGATTGGTCATTTGCTGACACGCCTACTGGATTGATTGACAGGTCAGAAAAAAAGAAAAAAAAAGCGAGCGCTGGAAGCCTCCGCCACAGCGGTGTTCTGTGTTTATATGTTGTTAATAAAAAGATCTAAAACATAAACCGAGCGCTGGCTCTACAGCCCACACATCAGACCAGCCCACCAGGAAATCTCCAGACCCTTCTGCAGCCACGCTGGACCTGAGTTTAATTCGCTCGTGACAAATTCCTCCATTTCTCACCATTTCAGTCACAGCATCAACGGAGGAGGAAGAGATCACTGCCTCTTGGTAAAAAAAACTAAAGAAAAGGCCAGATCAGGGATGAAGAAGGGTAATTCAATACATCGGTGTCGCATACAAAACAGTCCGTCGCTGGGCAGTTTATTGTGCGACACCGCGTATGCGTATGCGGTCTTAAAAATTGAGCTACACGGAGGGTACGCTGGGGGGGTACGCACGTACCTCTGCGTACGTACCTCTGCATATGGATGTACGCGGCAGTATACTGGGGGCTTAACTCGTAGCTTAGCTTCTCAGCTTAGCTGCTTTTAACGATCCAAAAATGCAATTTTGGACGGTTAAAACGGATTTTTTTTAAAAAGAGAGAAAGGGAGGGCAGTGTCTTCAGTAGAAAGAGAGACACAAAAAAACGATAAAGCTGATAAATGAAAATGAGGTCAAAAATTTTCATTAATCATGTGATTAATTTATTTATCGTTTATCGTGACAGGCCTACTACACACACGTAAACTCCCAATGCTAGTTGGCTTTATCCTTCAACGTTTCAAATTTGCATTCAACTTTTTTGTTCTCGTGTCTCTGCATGCTTGTTCCGTTTCTGATCAAAACTGCAAAAATACTGCAGATACTCTGCCGGTGACGTGAAGCTTTCAACATGATTTCTGCCTCCGTTGTCTTCGTACTCACTTTCAACCACATTTACAACGCTAATTTAAACTGCCTGATTTGCAAGTTTATTGAGATGCAGCTCGTTGGGCTTGAGGTTACTTGCACATGCTCCAAGGACTAAGACAAAAGACCTTTAATAAAATTTGACAAAAATTGGTTACAATAACATGGTTGCTTCCAAACATTAAATGGCTGAATAGAAAATGCCTTTGAAGCAACTTATAGAATAATAAACACTGGAGCAATACACATTAAACACAACCTCTTATTTGAGCAACCACTTGCTCATGCCTCCTAGTAAAACTCCCTCTCAGATGGCCTCAAAATAGGCTTTAATGTGTGCCCTAAAAAGGCTGAAAGAGAAAACACACATCTGCCGTGTTTAGGTAAGCTGCAGTTGCTATGGTTACAGATGAGCACTCACTAAACAGTTGTGTGTCAAGCTATCATTGAGATGGAGCACTTGAGCCGCACGCACACGCACACAGAAGCGTTGGCGTCTAAAAAAAAATAAAGGGGAGGTGGCAGTTGAGGTCATGTTTGCTTCTATTAGCAAGATGCTACGATCAACATCAGGATGAAGGAACAAAAGATGCTGAGGGACGCCGAGTGCAACGTTTAGGGGAAGTTGAGCAACGTGTTCTATTTTTAAACCGCACAGACAATGACATACCGTTTTATGAAATTTAACAAAGCGACAATAATCAAGTTAGGAAAAACTTGTTTTATTCATATTTTTTGACTCTTTCAAATGAATTCTCTCTAAAATAGTCAGTAGCTCTTTAAAGGTTTGTCCCACCAATATAAACCATTACCATTACTCCGCATCCGGTTAGAACAGTTGTGCAAACTGCTTGACCAGCGTCAATGATTAACAGCCTGTGCACGTCAAGCCAACTGGAAAAGCTGCGCCACATTTAAGGTGGCAAGTGAAAGTGGGTGCAAGCCTCGAGGACTGCGGCAAGTCTTGGCATGAAGCTCTGACTCATGCCATTTCATTTCATCATCCCCGAGTCGTCGGACTTGCCAAACTCTTCAAAACACCCTTGCAAAATTAAACAAGAATGTGCATTGCATCCCAATTGCTTGACCAAATGCAGATTCAAGCAAATAATGATTTAATAAGGATCTCTTTAAATCAAAAAATTGAACGTAAAGATGAAACTTGCGGTCCAAGAGGTTTTACAAAGATTCAAACTCGCCAGGCGCCATGGTAACCCATTCAGATGACCTGATGCTGTTGCTACATTGAACCGCTTTGCATTTGTCGCCTGCAGACTTTATGAGGGACATGCCCTTAGTACACAATAAATATCTCCATGTGTTGCCTTGACTTTGAGAGATAAACATCCAAGATGTGCAAGAGTGTGGATTTATGCTTCTAACAAGCAAAATTAATAAGTTCAAGGACTATTCAAGCATGACCAATTTGTGACTTGTTTGATGCAGGATTCTAATGAGAGAGGATTTTTAACAAGTCCAACAATTAATTAAATAAATAAAAGTTCCCGACAAACAATGTGGTACTTATGACTTCAAGGGATGAAGGATGGTGTAAAAACTGATGAACTCACCAGGACTCTTCCTGTCAGCGTCTGAGCGGATATCATGACTCCGGCCCAGTCCTTCACCGAGGTCATCCAGCCCACTTCGCTTGCCATGGCGTCATCTTTGTCCGCACGCTTAATGCCGTCACCTGTGGTGATGCGGTGGGCCTCCTGAAAGAAAAACAAACGAACAAAAAATTCAGTTAAAACTAGATCACCAATTGATCAGCAGTCCCTCATTTATCACGGGGTTTAGGGGACCAAGCCCCCGCGATAAGTGAAAAACCGAGCAGTAGCGATGCAGTAGTCCAAGTTCAAGTAAACTTTGTCATTACCATCTCTTGTGGTACAGGAGATGGAGCAAAATTATGTACACAAGTAGTAGTAGTAAATAGTAGTTTATTTTAGTATTTACTGTAGTAGTAGTAGTTGTAAGTAGTAGTTTATTTTAGTTTTTACTGTAGTAGTAGTTGTTGTAAGTAGCAGTTTATTTTAGTTTTTACTGTAGTAGTAGTAGTTGTAAGTAGTAGTTTATTTTAGTATTTACTGTAGTAGTAGTAGTTGTAAGTAGTAGTTTATTTTAGTTTTTACTGTAGTAGTAGTAGTTGTAAGTAGCAGTTTATTTTAGTTTTTACTGTAGTAGTAGTAGTTGTAAGTAGTAGTTTATTTTAGTTTTTACTGTAGTAGTAGTAGTTGTAAGTAGTAGTTTATTTTAGTTTTTACTGTAGTAGTAGTAGTTGTAAGTAGTAGTTTATTTTAGTTTTTACAATAGTAATAGTGGTGGTAAGTAGTAGTTTATTTTAGAATTTACTACAGAAATAGTAGTAAGTTGTAGTTTATTTTAGTATTTACTATATTAGCAGTAGTTTATTTTAGTATTTACTGTAGTAGTTTTTTTAGTTTTTACTATAGTAGTAGTAGTAGTAAGTAGTTTATTTTAGTATTTATTTTAGTAGTAGTAGTACGTAGTTTATTTTAGTATTTGCTATAGTAGCATAGCATTAGTAGTTTATTTTATTATTTCCAATAGTAGTAGTAGTAGTTTATTTTAGTATTTACTGTAGTAGTAGTAGTTTTTTTTAGTTTTTACTATAGTAGTAAGTAGTTTATTTTAGTATTTACTTTAGTAGTAGTAGCAAGTAGTTTATTTTAGTATTTGCTATAGTAGCAGTAGCATTAGTAGTTTATTTTATTATTTCCAATAGTAGTAGTAGTTTATTTTAGTTTTTACTATACTAGCAGTACCTTGCCCACATGCTTGCAGTACTCTAAACAACATTTCTAAACTCTTAACTCCATTTAAATTTAAACTGTAGAGAAAAGAAGCACAGCAGGACAGCAAAGGGTTAACCCTTCACGCAGCAGCATAGAGCAGAAATGTACTTCTTGATCAATAACAACTGAACATAGTAGTTCTAAAATAATTAAAAATAACTTAACACTTAAATATTTTGTGATAATGACGATTTTACGATGCAACATACTTTGAATTTTAAGTTGGAAGACAAAAGTCGATCGGTGCAGCTGGACGGTAAAGGGTTAACCCTTCACTAAGCTGCTGCAGCAGCAGAAATGTGGGCGTGGCAGAGAGCAGCAGGTGGCAGAGAGCGGAGATCATGACAGGCTGCAGAGAGAGCTTCTCCCTGCACCTGTGGGCTGCACACAGGTGCTAAATCATTTAAAATATTTTAAATAAACAATCCATGGCTCATCTGTCAATCAGCCAATTTTGCGTCATGTCGAATCTTACTTTGAAAATCTGAAGTAGCGAGGGACTACCGTATAAATGTTTAGAAACCAAAACAATGGTTGATAATTTACACGTAAGGTCTAACATTTTCTCACGGAGCTTAAAAAAAAAAAAAGTTTCATTTAGAAAAACAAGGCAAACGTCGTTTCCCCGCTACTTTTTTTTTCTCTTTAAGAAAATGACTACAAATTCATTAAAACACCCATTTTATCTTACGTCTGTAAATTATGCATAAAAAGCCTGTTCAAATTTATTTTCCTCATAAATGACAGGTGGAAACCAAAACAACATGATTTATAAGAGAAGGGCCCAAATTAAAATAAAAGCTTATGACAAAAGCTTTTAACATAAATAAAGTTATACCTCTGTGTAGTCATAAATTAAGCTAGAGCTAAATCTAAATCAATATTAGCACTGTTTGCCAAGCTGCTCGTTTCCTTGGCATCAACTACAGATTATTTGTCAAAGCCACAGGCTCCTGTGTGTATGTACTTTGGTGTAAGTGCAGCATTATGGAAACATTTAAAGGTTTATGTATAAACTGATAGCAAAGCCATAATTAAGAGGAATTAGGAACACAAGTTTATTGTTTGCGATGCCAAGAATAAAGTCTGTATAATTTGCATGTAGCCGTGAAGCTTAAAAAGTTAAAGGACAAAGCAAATTCAAGTGTTGCAACCCACTCAACTTTATCAAGCAGGTACTTTTTTTAAATTAATCTGTTTTTTTTGTGCATAAAAGTGCACAGTGGTTGAAAATGCTTTCAAGTAACGGGCAAAATAAAATCTTTTTTGGGTCGACTTGGTGACAACATTTCTATGGCATCACCTTATCTGTCAAATGCAAGCCTAATATTTACTCTTTCATGTCAGTTTAGTCTCCCACATCAGATTAAACAAACATCTCTGGCTATTTAAAAACTAAATGCATGTTCACCAGCTGCTCAAAAACAGTTTCTCCCTATTTTATACCACTGAAAAGCAAATACATGTTTTTAATAGTGTGACTGTTTGTGAAGCATTCACACTATTGTCATCCATTTTTCTTCCGTACGCATTTCCGCATCTTTCTCGTTCCACAATTTTTGTGCCATTTCAACATCCTAAATCAAAATGTTCAGCTCGTTCAGGTGAAAAGGGTGCTATGATTTTTGGTATTGGTTCAACTTCAGCTTTTTGAAATATTTAGCCTTTTCTGCCACTTTTTTCCTCATAGAATGAATTGAGCTCATTTTACATCTTTCAGATCTTCAGCTCTGTTTACAACCTTTTACTGCTCCTTTCACATTTTGTTCGGGTTCAGCTTCTTTCAGCTTCCTTGTGCAAATTTACACTTTTCAGCTAATTTCTGCCGTTTTTCTCGGCTGTTTTGTGCTCCTTTCTGATTCTTTCAGCTAACTGCAACATTTTTGTGCCTCTTCTAACTTCTTTCTGCTCCTTTCAGCTTATTTATGCAATTTTCAGCTTTTTCTCCTATTTCAGCTACTGTTCAGCTGTTTTTATGCCAATTCACGTTTTCAGCTAATTCCACTTTTTTTTTTTGCACTATATTCAACTTTTTTCAGCTTATTTCAGCAAAAATGTGCTCTCGCCACTTCCTTCTGATAATTTAAGCTTTCTTCAGCCTTTTTTAGCTACTTAACAGTTTTTTGTGCTAATTTCAGTTTTTATCAGATAATTTCCACTGTTGTGCTCATTTCTACTTCTTTCAGCATAATTGGACAAATCTGTGCTTTCTTATGCCAATTAAACTTGTTCTACCTTTTCAGCCAAGTAATTAGCATTTTTAGCTAATTTTAGCCATTTTCAGATCAATTCAGGGTTTTTTTTTTATGCTACTTTTAGCCTAATTAAGTTCTTTCTGCTAATTTCAGCTTGTTATGCTCCTTTCGGCTCATTTCTGGTACTTCAACCACTATTTAGCCGTTTTTGTGCTAAATTTAGCTTTGTCAGCTAATTCCACATTTTTTAGCTTATTTAAGCTGCTTCCACTTACTTCTGGTAGTTTAAGCTTCATACTGCCTTTTCAACTACTTTTTTTGTTTGCCAATTTCAGTAATTTTAGCAAATTTCCTAATTTTTGTGCTAATTTCTGTTTATTTAAACCTAATTCAGCAAATATGTGTTCTTTCTGTTTTATTATTTTAACTTTGGCTTGTTCTTACATTTCAGCATGTTTTTAGCTAATTTCAGTTGTTTTTAGCTAGTTCTTCAGCAATAAGCATTCACACTGCATTTTAGCAGGAAATGCAATTAGGGACGCACCGATAAATCTGCCCCGATGTCCTTAATGTTTGGGTGATCGGCAATCGGCCGATACATGAGAAACTGATTTTTACAGATTTTTTGTAGTTTTAACAACAATTGTCTGAACTTCATTTATATTTCAGAGCACTACCTCATGGCCAGTTCAAACAAGTTTGTATTGTTTCGAGGATATTGTTCAAAGGTATGTTCTTCAGTAAAATAAGATTGGAAAATTTAAGGTGCATTGTGACCTTGTAACGCCTGACAGTGTCGCTTATAAAACAAAATCAGTATCGGCAGGTCATGCTCTTTAGAGATCGGCTAGAAAACTGCAATTGTTGCACCTCTAAATGCAATCCTCTAGTTTAAAACGGATCAAGTTAAACATTAAAGGTAATGTAAAAAAACTGTCCGCATATTCTAGATAACTACCCAAAAACCCCCATTTGAACATTATCTTTCCAAATTAAATGACCTGGTTCAAGGCCTCCAAAACAAACCCACACATGCATCCTGTAAACACGCGATGACTCCAGGAGTGTATCCATGGCAGCCACAGAGCTCCTGGTGTTTCTGCTTCACTGAGTGGGCTGCCTGCCTGCCTGCCTGTCTGTCTGTCTGTCTGTCTGTCTGTCTGTCTGTCTGTCTGTCTGTCTTTCACCCTGTTTTTCCTTCTGTCTGGTAGGACCAGCGTGATTCACAGAGCAGGAAATCGAAACAGGAAGCAGGAGGTTACAGCCATGCTCCCCGATCAAACACCCTGCAGTCACGGGGCTGATGCATGTCTCTCTTTCTGCGACCCCCCTCATCTACCTCCCATAGCTAAACTGTGCAGTAGTTTAAAAGGGGAGATGAACGTCCTGACATCTATACATTATCACAGCTCTCTGTTGTGTTTACACCCAGGCTCCCTGATGCAGTTTCCTCCAGATGCAGAATGAGTTTCGATGCGTCCCTGTGATAAAGTAGCTGACTTTAAAGCACTCCTGGCATGCAGCATGCGCCGTGCTTCCACGCCAACGTAAATCTTTGTGGAACTGGAGGAGAGTGCAGCTTGACTGAAATAAATCAAGTAATGAATGAATTTGGTTTGCGACACACAAATACAAGCCAAGCAGTTGTGATTAGAAAACGAGGGCATTTGTTAGTCTGCAGTGTGACTGTGGAGAGAGGGC